TGAGGGTGTTGGGGGGCTGTTTGGGGGTGTATGGGGATGTTGGTGGGGTTATTAGGGGTTCTGGACCCACAAAAAGATAATAATAATAAAAAAAACTTTGCGGGTGCTGACGACTCCCGACCGGTAGGTGCCGACCAGCCAACCGGTCGGCTGGTCGGCATCCAACCAGTCAAGGGCCCCAAATATAATGTACGACGTACGGTCAATATAGCCATATTTAGACTGAAAGATACCCCAAATACAGATATAATGACCGGAGGTTGTATTTGGGGGAAGAAGGTAGCGCTCCCCGCTTTTTCAATTTGGTAGGTCGAACCTCAAAAGTTGCAGCTCGCATGTATGGCTGCGCCGGATTCCTAAAATTCCTGCTCCAATATGACGAGATGCAATGCCACCAGGATTAAAAGGATCGAAGCCTTCAGCTCCCCAGGCAGGTGATACTGATTGAACTTTTTAAAGACTGTTTTCAGTGTTTTGTGTGCACTGTGGGCAGAATTGTTCACTTTACTTTCTCACCTCTTTCATGTTCCTTCTTTAATTCGAAGAAAAAGAATCAAACTCCCCTTCAAAGTTAAAAGTTAAAACCCTTTTCAAACCCCCTTCAAGCCCTATATATAACCCATCCCACTGTTGGCTGAGGGTCACTTCAGAATGCCTTATTAATTCGAAGAAAGACTCGAACTCCCCTTCAAAGTTAAAACCCTTTTCAACCCCCCCTTCAAGCCCTATGTATACCCCTTCCCACCCACCACCACCCCCCTCTTACAAGGCATTCTACCCATGCCACATTCAAATAGAACGCCCAGGTACTATATTCGAAGTGGCATTATATTAAAAAATGAAGTGACAGAGAAACCTGACCCCTTTTAAGGGTAAGCTCAACAATTGACAAGGCAAAGCAAGAAGAAGTGACCCTCATCAGCCAACGGCTTGTCGCATTCCAATTCTACATAACGTATACCGAAGTTGCCACCGATTTACGGAATGCAACGCCGGCCGTTATGAACAAATAGAACGCCTGCCGCACATTGTCTTCGTATACAGCGCCCAGACATTAGAAACGAATATAACACCCTCTGCACATTATGAAATGCATTCCATGATGCAGACCCCAAATCCGACTTTCCGGATCGAAGTCTCAGGGCCAAGTTGGCCAGTTCAGAAAGGTCACAGTCGGGTACCTTAGGAGTCAAGTCCAACAACAGGCTCCCGGTGAACAGTCACATCCCAGAGGCAAAGGTTGCGTTCTATAAGCAAAAGTCACGTCTCATATTGAAAAGTCGTGTCCCACAGGCAAAGGACGACACTTCTCCGGGCAAAAGTCGTGTCCCAGAGGCAAGAGTCACATCCCACAGTCAAAAGTCATGTTCCACAGGTGAAAAGTCGTGACTCACAGACCCAAGCAGCCAGCACACCAATGAAAATTCGGGAAAAGTACCAGGCCTTGACATTCTGAAGCACGACCTGCAGGCCGTGGGCATGTGGTACCAGGCGGGTTCAAGTCCAGCCAAAGGAGCAGAGACTGGGACGGGTTGAGGCTCAGTCCAAGTTAATACAAGGACTGGCCAGCCACATTTCGTGGGAGATTGCGCATTCGTGAGAAGTGTGGAAGTGCTGCTGAAGCACATGTGCGCTATCTGCGAGTAGCATGCGCACGAGAGCCCTGCTGGGCAGCGCTGCGCTGAGAGGGAAGGCGGCCATAGCACCATAAGTTATTAGCAGGTATAGAGCTGAG